GGAAACTGCGCATCCGGGATCGGGAGTCGAAGTCGAGCGCGCGAGTATTGTGACGTCACAAAAGTCTCCATGACGACGCGCGGATGCGCACGCAACATGCCGCGCGAGACGCTCGAGAGCGCGACTCTGAAACGAGGGACGCTAGCTAGTCCCTTAGGTCTTTCGGTGCATCCGGTACTATACATAGAGCACCGGCAAAAGGTCATTGATCTCCGAAAAAACTCCTAGCCAGTCCCTTAGGTCTTTCGGTGAATTTGTTACTATATATAGAGCACTAGCAAAAGGTCAATGATCTCCGAAAAACTCCCAAGCCAGTGCCTTAGGTCGTTCGGTGAATTTGTTACTAAATATAGATTTAATCCCAAGTCATATTTAAACAATGTAAACATCATTGATGCTGCATTATCGGTGATGTAAAGTATTAGTAAAGCATTACATTGCGGTTGTTGCATGATTCCATTGCATATTCATAACATCGGTAAACAGTTGATTGTCATATCCTTTAATCCTAACAAAATTTACAAGTTCGATGTTGAATGGTACGCTTGCATCTCCTCCGCCTCACCGAGTCCTATGCCATACGTAGTGCGTTGGACAGTCTAGTATCCCTCCATAGGGATTGAATAATGTCTCATCGGTCAATACATCGATCCTCGTACTAGTAGATTCATTCAGACGAGTCGAATACATGTACATTCCTCTCACTAGTCCATCATGGTTTCTGTAGTTCCATCTCCATTCGAGTTGGGTGGCTTCGGTCCTGTCTATAGTAGTTACTTGATCCATGTCTGTGAACGGAGTCTCCAATATAAACGTACTAGGTGCTCTGAACCATCTAGAAAACTTCCTGTTGTGCATATGTTCGTCTGGTGATCCTTGTCTGACGGGTCGATCCGATGGTTGTTCCATTGCAGCTCGGGTATTCATCGCATCACTCATGTGAACGGTTCGGCTCATGAACAACAAATAAAAGACATACGCTAGTATTAGGTCTTTAAGCCTGTAGTTGTTTATTCTTAGAATAAACAAACAAATACATTTCATATCATCAGCTACGAATGTACAACCTTGTTGAAGTCACTCCAACGTAGAGACTCCCAACGTATGCCTTTTGTCCGTTCGTCATTTGGTTACTATATATATACCTTGTATCTGAAAGGGCAATGCCCTGCAATAACTCCCGACCATAGCCTTCTGTCTGTAGGTGATTTAAATACTATCAATAGCCTGTGGAAGCCTACTGGCAATGCATAGTACCCTAAAGCAGGGCATTGCATAAGGATCAACTTCGACGTCTCGACGAGCCGATTGTTTTATTGGTGAAGAAGACTTCACCAACTAATTACTCTAAAAGTCAAGAAGGAATGGAAGGAATACAATGAAATGGAATGTAATGCAATGAAATGCAATGGAGAATAAATGCACGTAAACTAACAATGTTACTCTAGTCTCGCTCTCTTTTCGTCTGTCATTCTTTTGGTCTCTCGGTCTCTCATCTCCAGTCTGCTCCGCTTCCTTGAGCCTCATTCGATCCCTCGCTCTCTCTCTCTTTCTCTCTGTCGCGCCGCTCGAAAGATACCAAAAGCACATCAGGAAGAGCAATAGAAAGACGAGAGAATGAGGGCGGGGACTAGAAAGAGAGAGGAGGCAGAAACGACTTCGACGTGGCGACGTCTGGATTGTTTTATTAGCGAAGGCTTCTTCACTAACTAAATAATCGGGAAGTCGAAAAGTCGAAGGTGAATTCTCGCTCTCTCATAGGCCCAGTGCAGAAATAAAAGGGAGGGTCCTCTACCCGCGAGGCGAGTTGACAAGTCGATTTTGTGCAGGTTTCAATGGGATTTCTCTGATCCTCTGAAGGGCGCCCTCTCTCCTAACAGTCGTTTTCTTAGTCGATTTTGACTTTTTTTAGGTTGTTTCCATAGCAACCATTGTGACGTCACAATGCCCATGCGCTCTAATGAATGGAAGAGCGCCCTCACTCGTCCCTCGTTTCAGAGTCGCGCTCTCGAGCGTCTCGCGCGGCACATTGCGTGCGCATCCGCGCGTCGTCATGGTGACTTTTGTGACGTCACAATACTCGCACGCTCGACTTCGACTCCCGATCCCGGATGCGCAGTTTCCCAGCGGACAACTTACAGTAAGTTTATCAACTTACATAGTTTGAGGTTAAAAGAAAAACAAAGTCACCTGGATTTGAACAAGACTAACATTTTTGTCGCATTGGCACGCCATAAAAATTCAACTAGCAACACAACTGCTGAAATGCTGCCTGCCTTCGGAAGAATGAAACTTACCCAAGTAGACGATAATTAAGTTTGGAATATTTGGCAATCGATTATGTATTTTTGGCTCAATTGGAAATTAGTTAGAAAGTGTCTAACTAAAATACATGTAGCCCCCAAAATATACAAATTATAAACATTTCAGTGTTACAACTGGAAACTTTATCAAAGTCAGAGATAAAATCACATCCTTCCCTGCCCTTGTGAACTTGTTTCTACTACCCCGACAATTGTTTCCAGTGCGTGTAATGTGTCATCCAATGAAATGTCCTATCCACATGACATATGAAATAACATGCTGAGCAGTCTGCTCAAACTGTAAAAATACAAATAAACACTGTACTAACTTTTAATTCACCATTTGGTACTGTGTCTTATTACTTTTCATGATGCCATAAAGGCAACACTGTATTTCGAAAATCAGTGTAATTACTCACAAACAATCCAATTAAAGCATGTCAGTCAGCGGGTCACAACATTTATCCAATAGAAGCCAACTGTCATGCCCAGCGCCCACGTGAATATAGGGCCGTTTTCCAATACTCAACTGTTTTTTTACTTTCTGACTTTGAGGTTGTAAATGCATAGAAGTCTGATAGTGCCGCTTTCTAAGCACCATTTATTGAATGATTTCACTCGCGTTGTTCTGGTATTTTCCAGTCTTTTTGCCTTCACCCATTCAATTTCAACGGGCTCGCTCTCACAGTCGCCATCTTTAAAATAAGGTCGTTGAACATTACATGTACATCACTTGACCCCTCATCGTCTCGACGGCTGTTCCATGTCGAGACATATAGGCCTAGTATTACACGGACTGAGCGATAAGATAATATATGTACCAATGTGCTCTTCCAAAACTTGGGCAGCAGTTTAGATATGGAGGATGGAGCAGTAGCGAGAGTCCGTGCCACAGAAGTGGGGCTAGGATGGTGCGTGCGTAAAGACATCATGTACATGTTACATCATGTTCATGTACAGTACATGATGTACAACTGTACGTACACGTACATGTACATCCCCATGGTCGCTGTTTTCACCGGCGTGATCAGCAGCGTAGCGAGCGGGGGGGTGTGGGAGGTGTTGAACCCCCCCAATAATTCTTTTCAGTCGGCAAATAAAGGGTCAGTCGGCAAATGAAACTGAAATTGACGTCATGAATTATTGACGTACATCGACCAGTCGGCCACCAGCGTTTCCCTGAAGCTGCCTGGAGGTGTGTAATGCTTACAAAATAACTGCTAGCCAACTGAGGATTAACATCAGTTTTGTCTGAATCTGCCCGTCCTACGGTCCAAAGTCAGGTTGCGGAGTCCTGTGTGTATTTTATATGTGCCTGTCCGAGTCGTAGCCAATCGCGATTGCCGCGCGTGGTCCCACTCAGTTTCCTTACATACAAGAGGTTCATGTACAGTACTATAGTACGTGTGTATACGTGAATT